GTCAGCGGCTCAGGTCAATGGCGGCGTGGCTCGGCTTGGTTAAAGCTGGTCAGCGGCTAGATGACGTCAGTGGATGACGTCGGCTCTGGTGCCGGCGCGTGCTTGCGCGTGCTTGCACGTTGAATGACGCGTCTTTTTCCTCTGACAGCTCGTGGGCGTGTGGTGGCGCCTGAGAACGGCGTCAAGAGGTGCGTAGGGCACGTATGGGGTCGTCCGATGTGCATTTTGGATGCGGTTTTCATGGTTGTGCTCGTCTCGTCGGGAGCTTCAAGTTGATGTGATCAAAAATGGATTTCGACCACTTTGATTTCTGGACAATTTTTGAAAACACACTATGTTGAAAATTTTGCAGAATGTCTGCAAATTCAAGCTACCTTCGGCTTTGATACCACTGTTGGTGGGAGTGGGTTGTAAACCACTGTTGGTGATTCACAATGAGAGGTTTAAAACTGAACCAAACTGACGAACAAATTATCCAGCTTTGGAATTATTAGCCCTGTAAATTATTGTCTCGACGAGCTTGCATATTATGTAAAAGATTGGCGGTAGGAAAATATTTATGTACATTTTCACGATTAAATAATAAAATGTTAAGATATATTTAATTAGTGTGATTATTGTTTTGGATCATAAATAATAACATAAATGGGCCCAATTACACTGTTGCAAATTAAGAGGCCCAGAGGTCCAGCGGCCCATATAACATGACAAAGCCTATAACATATCCAATCGATAACATAGGCCCATCAACACTATGGAAGAAGTGGACACTAGAATGGATCAGCGCGGCCCAGCAATGCAATATAATACACAACAGGATAGGACGTTCAACAAATTATTTATTTTGGAATAGTAATAATTATACAATTATGATAATTAGGAAATTGTCACTATTCCTATATGTGTGTGCACATCGCTCTATCGTCTGCATGGATGGAGCCATCGCCTGGGTTTCTAATTCGGAAATCCGCTTTTAGACCGGCGAATAGAGCATCTTCTTGCCGCTGTAAGGTGTTGATGAGCCGGATTAAATTTTCGGCGTTGTTTTCACCGATGACCAACAAGGACCAGTGCAGCAGTAAAAGATCCGGCTTGTATTTTAAAATCAACCGCCTAAATTGACCTAGATCTCCGAGATCCATTGTAAAATAATATAAAATCCCCAATTATTTTGGCTTATATAATTTCCCACTTGCGCTTGCCACCGTTTAAATTAAAATTCCCGCCTGCGCTTGCCTTTTTAGATGTTTTAATCCTGGTCGCATATCTGGGAGCGTAGCGGAGCCCCTAGCCGACAACACGCCGCGAATTGCGGAAGGGAGCACCAATCGGGGGACGACACGTGGCGCGGGGGGGGAGCGTCCTAGGTAATATTAGTGGGACGCTCTTGGGATCATATATAAGTCACTCCCTCACTCTTTTATACCAGTAAAGTTTTTAGAGAGTGACTTGCGTCATCCGAGAGAGTGAGTGACGTCATTGAGAGTGAGTTATGACCTCAATGCGACGTCGTTTTAGAGTTCAAAACAAGAACATCTTCCTCACATATTCGAAATGTTATATACCTAAAGAGAGATTGTTAGAGAAAATTAGAGAGATGTTCACAAACAGGCCACCAAATTATATGAGGGTTGCACATGAATTACATGAGGACGGTGAACCACATCTCCATGCTCTTGTTCAATTTCCATACTGTTTTTAAACACAGGATGAATGGTTCTTCGACGTTACGCATTATCAAACTAGTCGCCATTTCCATCCAAATGTACAAGGGGCCAATAACCATCAGAATGTGTTGGAATACATCTCCAAACACGGAGATTACATGGAATAGGGCGAATTCCGTTAGAGGGGCCGTTGCGCTAACCAGGTCAACAAAGAAAATATATACCATGAGGCTCTTGCAGCCTATGTTACATGGATTCGGGTACGAGTGTCGGGTGCGGGTGTGTATCCAAGCGTCAGACATTCATAAATTTAAATCTTAAGATCTTGGGGTACGTATCCAAAATTAGATATGGGTACGGGGACACGTCATATGCACATATATATTGTATATTATATAATATTCTTGGATGAGATGATTTAAATTATGTAGAAATACATTAGAAATTAACTATGATTCAGAAAAAAATATGAAATTTCTATATCTAATTCATGTGGGAGCCTAAAAATATTACTTTACTAACAAATGTGAGTTTCTTTTTCTTCATTTATTGTCACAAATTAAAGTATCTGAGTGTCTAAATTGGGTACGAGCGTCGGACACATATCCCACACCCTTATCCATGTCATATTCGATGGACACGGGTATTGTGGGGGAAATGGAAGAGTCCATGTAACACAGCTTGCAGCCGGAAGCAAAGAAGAAGCTATGGCATTGGTAAGAAATGGCGATCTAAAATATTTCTGGCTAAATTATGACAAGTTGTCATCCAATTACGACAAAATTTCATTTACTCTGCCATTGCCGTATGTTCATCAATTTACAGATACAGTGTGGATCGTTCCAACAGCCATACAACAATGGGTTGAGGGAAATATAAGGGAGGAAGCCCAAAGACCACACAGGCCCAAGATCATTATAATTGAAGGCCTATCTAGAATTGGGAAAACATGTTGGGCCCGGTCTTTGGGACCGCATAATTATTATTTTGGCCAAATCAATTTGAGGGACCACAATGATGACGCTTTTTACAACATAATCGATGATGTGGCCCCACAATATTTGAAACATTGGAGGGAATTTATTGGAGCGCAACGGGAATTTTTTTCAAATTGTAAATATGCCTGCCCAAAGAAAATATAAGGCGGGATTCTAAGTATTATATTATGCAACCCCGGATCTGATTCTAGTTACAGAGATTTTTTAGATAAACATGAACACACTGGGCTCCAAGCGTGGACGATTTGAAATGCAGAGTTTTACACAATCGATCAACCCCTCTTCGCCAGAGCCAATCAAGAAGAGGCATCGCAATGAGAAGAAGAAGGCCCAACGCAGGAAGATATTCTACTTCCAATGCGGATGTTCGATATTTCATACGAACGGATGTATTGAATCACATCCATTGGAGAGAAAAGATGCTGTCAGGGGTCTTCTACGACACTTTGAGCAACCCGATATGGTTCAGAGCCGTAGACATGTCCCGACCTGGGAATCACGGGATCTACAAGATAGAATGCCTGTTCAATTACAACCTCCAGAGAGCATTGGGAGTCCGGATGTTCACTACGACAATGTATACATGGCTAACATACAGTGGTCTCGGAAGCCTAACGGAGAATGTATTTACCCGGCTTATTGCACGCAGGATCACGAACAAATTATCCAGTTTTGGAATTATTAGCCTTGTAAATTATTGTCTCGCACTGACCATTGTACTCGACGAGCTTGCATATTATGTAAAAGATTGGCGGTGAGAAAATATTTATGTACATTTTCACGATTAAATAATAAAATGTTAAGATATATTTAATTAATGTGATTATTGTTTTGGATCATAAACAATAACATAAATGGGCCCAATTACACTATTGCAAATGAAGAGGCCCAGAGGTCCAGCGGCCCATATAACATGACAAAGCCCATAACATATCCAATCGATAACATAGGCCCATCAACACTATGAAAGAAGTGGACACTAGAATGGATCAGCGCGGCCTAGCAATGCAATATAATACACAACAGGATAGGGCTTTGAACAAATTATTTATTTTGGAATAGTAACAATTACACAATTATGATAATTAGGAAATTGTGTCACTATTCCTATATGTGTCTGCACATCGCTCCAATTAATTATTCTCCCAACTCTATCAACTCGGATATATAAGAATATGTATTGGATACACAATTCTCTTGTGGCGTATGAATGGCTAATATATATTCTTATATATCCGAGTTGATAGAGTTGGGAGAATAATTAATTTAAAATAAATGGGCCCAATTACACTGTTGCAAATTAAGAGGCCCAGAGGTCCAGCGGCCCATATAACATGACAAAGCCTATAACATATCCAATCGATAACATAGGCCCATCAACACTATGAAAGAAGTGGACACTAGAATGGATCAGCGCGGCCTAGCAATGCAATATAATACACAACAGGATAGGGCTTTGAACAAATTATTTATTTTGGAATAGTAACAATTATACAATTATGATAATTAGGAAATTGTGTCACTATTCCTATATGTATCTACACATCGCTCCAATTAATTGTTCTCCCAACTCTATCAACTCGGATATATAAGAATATGTATTGGATACACAATTCTCTTGTGGCGTATGAATGGCTAATATATATTCTCATATATCCGAGTTGATAGAGTTAGGAGAATAATTAATTTAAAACGTCGTCGTATTGAGGCCATAACTCACTCTCAATGACGTCACTCACTCTTTCGGATGACACAAGTCACTCTCTAAAAACTTTACTGGTATAAGAGAGTGAGGGAGTGACTTATATATGATCCCAGGAGCGTCCGAGAGAGTGCATTTTGGATGTGGTTTTCACGGTTGTGCTCGTCTCTTCGGGAGCTTCAAGTTGATGTGATCAAAAATGGATTTCGACCACTTTGATTTCTGGGCAATTTTTGAAAACACACTCTGTTGTTGAAAATTTTGCAGAATGTCTGCAAATTCAAGCTACCTTCGGCTCTGATACCACTGTTGGTGGGAGTGGGTTGCAAACCACTGTTGGTGATTCACAATGAGAGGTTTAAAACTGAACCAAACTGAAATTTATTTCACTCCAAATGAGTATGAAAGAAACACAAACAAAGCACTCTATTATTTTCTTTCTCTCCCACACTCAGAAACCTTACAATAACAAAGCTATATATAGATGAAAACATATAATGTGAACGCATTTATTTCAAATACACCTATCAGTGTGAATGCATTCAATGCGTATACGACTATCAACCACCGCATTGAATGCAGCAACCAACACATTGAATGCAGCTATCAAGATTACTTCAGAACAGTTCCGTGACATTTGCAAACTTGTGTTTTGAATGATGGGTTACATTGGACAAATGATTATGATGTTTGGACAATGTAGCAGTGATATAGGTGATTTGCCTACCATCTATATAGCATTCTCTGTAAAATGAAGTTCTAGATTGTCTGGCTTCGCATGGCTTCGTATTGTAAGTTTATTTTTTTATTTTTTATTTTTTATTTTTTATTTTATTTTTAGTGTTGTGCATTTAGTTGACCATTTCATTCAAATCATTTTATGCCCCTGCTTAAACTCTGCTTTTTTGTCACAATGCATGGTTTTTGTTGCATTAATAATTAATATACTGCTTACCTTTGCCTTTATGTTTTTCTGAGGGATACAGAGCTTTCAATGGCGGGAGGATCAGATGATTACGTGCAGCATGAACTCAATGACTGGGTGCAGAGAAGGTCGTTTGAACATCCAGAGTGGTTCGAGTCCAAGTCAGTAACAAAGCAAGGAGAGCAGACTACTGTGCAACAAATGACTTCCAGGGCAAAGCATGAGGACAAGACGACTGGTAGCTATGAACGCTTTACTGCAAAGCAGTCAATGTCAAGTGGGCACCAGGTTGTGGAGAGATCTGGGCGAGTTGGTTTCAAGGATGTGCAGCAGAAGAGCGCGACCCTGAGGATTGGTGATAAGAGTGGCTATACCGAGTACTACAGCGAGCAGAAAGTTCAGAGGGTCAACTACGACAAGAACAGCTACAACAGTGGCAACACTAGCCGATCAAAAAACAAGTATTAGTTCTTAGTTCCTGCACTGTTCTCTGCTTTCACTATGATGTTTGGATTTGTTGTCTCTTTTCTAGAAACAAAAGTTCGGTTTGTTACTTCGTTACCACTGTTTGCTGGGTAATGGCCTGGATGACTATATATATATATATATAAGCTCCAAATGCTAATCACAAGTACTTCATTGTGGTATATTCTGCTTTCTTATGTGATTCGTAGAATCTGGTATTTGATGTGGTTGCTATTCATTACTGTGATTACATTTACAGGTACAAACTTCTGTTTGATAGAGATATATTAATTGGTATATAGAGTATTGGTAGGGCTTCTAATACATATGCTCTTGCAACTTTGATGAAACCAGAAACTTGGTTCTACTTCTTGTGTTGAGTATATTATCGTTGTTCTTGTTATTTTAGAATCTCTCTGCATGAAACAGAGGGATGGCCAAAATAGTAAGGCCCCCCTTTACTAGACACGAGGGTTTCAAGTCTCGCCCCCCTCTCCCGTAGATTAGATTATACACTTGTGTTGTAAACTTGAGTTGGCTTTTTGTAGTTACATTTTGACTTTTGGTTAAAATCTTAAATTTCCGAAGGAGTTAGGATATGTTTGTTAGGTTTAGATTTAGGTTAGATGCATGTGTTTCTAATGTTGTTTACCTTATGAATTTGAAAAGGAAAACAGAAAAGAAATGGAGAAAAAATGTAACTTATATTTTATTTATATTTTTGTTTCATTTTAAAATTTATTGTCCAAACACAACCTAATCTATTAAGCATTGTGTTTAGTATACTTGTCACAGAATGTTTTGACTACTGTTCAATTCGGATGCCATCTTTACAACGGTTTGCAGTTTGTAATAAACGAACAAATGAGGCCAAAATATTTTTGGACAATATCGGTTTGGGGCACTGTTTAGAACCCATTGAGTAAAGTATTCATATACAAAATTAAAATGATCCGATAACGGTAACTACAATCTATATATGTTTGCATCATATTTGTTTTTTAAAAAAAAATAGAAGACTAGACCTTTTTTTTGGGACTCTTACAACTTTATTTGGATTTCAACCATTGATGTTGTGGGTCTACACATACATGTGTGGACACATATTAGTGGTTGAGATCCAAAGGGATTATGGGGTTTCCAAAAAAGGAATCCAAGCATTTTTCTTTTTAGAATAGACAATTCAATATTTTTTCCTGTTGTGCTAGAGGGCCTAAGATGTGAATACACAAAATAAAGATACACAAGAATAACAAAACAAATTTTAATTCACTCAAACGAATTTAAAATAAATACAAAAATTCACAAACAAATATAAAGGGGATGGTAATTCCTCCAAACTCACAATCTCACTCAAATTTAAATATTTTTTATATCTAATACAACACAGTAACTTTCTATTTATAGATTTTCTGAGGAGGATGAGGGACTAAAGCGGTGATGCTAAAATCAACGTGTTTCAAACCCGTTCGGGAAGCTTCATGGTGGCTTTTATTGTTGACCAACTAAGAACTTCAATTAAAACCATCTTCTTCAATAGCTATTGTATCATCTAGAAGCCTTAAAAACAATTTGGAAGAGAAGAGGAGAAATCGAATTCAAACTTCTTATGCTTCATGGAGAAGCAAAGCCAAATTTTCAACGTATGTTACAAACGTAATCTAATAAGTGGTTAACAATATGTTGTCATCTTAATTTTTTGTAAGCATATTTTACTAACAGGTCCAAAAGAGTAAATAGCTTGGATTACACTCGATTTTGGCTTTGGATTACACTTTGTTTTGGCTCTATACTGTAAAGAAAAACAAGTTCACCCTGGGCATATAAAGAAGGGCAGTTATATCTCAAGTCACAAATCACTAAAAGAAGTGCTGATTGAAAGACTACATCGAGAATTTGATGATTTAGAAAGTGTAAGAAGCGTAAAGGAGGAGTTTGAATAAAAAATAAAAAACAATAAAAGAAAAAGGAAAAAGGAAAAAGAAAAAGAAAAGGGAAATTCATTAAGAGAACCAATAAATTTTGTTCGTGGTGGAGAAAGTGAGAATCATTTTTGGGTGTTCCTCAAGTTGCTTAAGCACACAGCTTGATTATCATCACTCATTTTTTAGGAGTTAGGGTGCCTGTTGTGCGGCCTGATGGGCTTATTTTGGTGTCCATTTTGATAATTCAAACTATTCACATTTTAAAGTGTATCGAGTAAAACATACCTGTAAAAAATTACATTAATTGGATATCGTTAACCCTTTCATCCACTCACATTTGTATTCATTTTAATGCTTTAAATTACAATGTCATAAACTTAATTTTTATAGGTATGTTCTACTCAATGTGCTCTAACATGTGAACGATTTGGATTATTAAAACAGACGCCAAAATAAACCCATAGGACCGGACATCATTGCCTGCTGTGCTGTGGGGTCTGAGAACTAAACCTTTAATAAAGGGAAGAAGTAAAATGACAAGAAAGAAATAAGTATCAAACTACAATTTCATACACATTTGCATTATTCATTGCAGGTTCATGTAAATCTTGCTGTCCAGCAAATTGAAGTTTTGATTTTTGAGAGAGATGGCACAACAGCTCCAATTACGAGTGATAAAGGCTGCAAAAGATCTCCCTACACTATTGGGAGAGGAGGCACAAAAGCTGTGTCATCCAATAATCATAGCAACAAAGGGCCATCCCTGCACTGGCAGGAGACTATTGGCCTTTTTGCTGGCTGCAACACTCAGATGTCCACTTATCAAGGAAGACGACATCGGCGAAGAGCCTAACCAAGCTTCTAATTACCAATTGGTTTGCCAAATTGCTTCATCCCAGCTTGAATTCGGGCTCTCTGTTGTTGTTGATTCGCAACTCTGTAACAAGTCTCAGTTTACTCAACTGGAAAGCCTTTCCAAATGTACTGAAACCCCACTCGTCATTGTTGAATGTCAAGCACTCGATGAGTCTAAGCTGTGGTAGAGTTTAGAGAAAGTAGAAGATGCAGCTTTTGCCACTCGCTGGTGGGACAAGCAGTCTTCCATGGAAGATCTTCGCAGACTGTTAGGTGAATTCAATGCTCACTCAGACTATGATGTAGCTAATATCCCCAAGTTCATTGCTACCATTACACCAGCTGAGGATATTAAGAAATGTGTTTCTTATGCTTTACAATCCATTGCTAACCTCGTTGAAACTGATCGTCATCAAGCTCAAACTGCAAAATGTGAATGCCATGAGTTTGAGTTCGGAGATGAGCAAGAGAACAAACAAGTCAAATGCGCCGAGTGCTTGCAGAAGATAACAGGACCCATCTACAAATGCAACAAATGTAACTTCATCTTTCACAAATCATGCACCGAGTTACCAATAATGATGCAACACCCTTCTGATCCATTTCCTCTCTATCTCAAAAATGGGGCAGCCGAAAACCACAAGGGTGAAGCCAAGTGCAATTGCTGTAAAAAAATTCTCACAGGATACTTCTATAGTAATACCAGTGATTCATCGGGCTCTGTCCGACTTGATCTCAACTGCCTTTTTTTGCCCTTCAACCGTATAGTAAAGTTTCACAACCACCCGTTACGACTTTCTCTTGAAGAAGTTGATTTTAAATGTGATGCATGTGGGATTTTGATTGATCAAAAACTTAGCTACACTTGTAACCGATGTGGATTCAGGATAGATCCAAATTGTGCTTGGTTACCAGAGACAGCAGTGTTTGAACGCCATCGATACCTATTCAAGCTCTCACTGTCGCCACGGTGTTAGGATCAAAGACACCCAGAGAATTATCTCACACACACAGAGAACACAATATTTACGTGGTTCGGCCCAATGCCTACATCCACGGACAGAAATGAGAATTATCACTAAAATGGAGCAAAAATACAATTACAGAGGAGGAGATGAAACTCACTCAACTCACAGCTCACACTCTCCAATTTCTGATGGTTCTCTCTTGGTTGTCTACTCTCCTCTCAACCTCTATTTATACATATCATGAGGGAAGGAAGCTGGACAACAATGGTGAGTGGATTGGTTAGTGGGGAGGTGCCACTCCCACTCTCTCTAAAGTGGTCTCCGACCACCCCACTCTCTCTAAGGTGGGTTAGCCACTCACATGGGATGATAATAACATAGCCAACACACGGGACGATTCTGATGAGTATTACTATGATGTTTGTGAGACAGAAAGGGATCCAAATTACTGGATCTACTACTGTGTGGAGTGTGATTATCCTTCTCATACCCGTTGCCTTGTACCAGCAGCTTGGCCTCCTTTAGAATCGGAGTCTGACAACAAATAGTCTTATTGTGTTAGTATCTATATATACTATAATAAGGTTAGCTAGAATTTTACATTGTAATTTCGAGTATCTTCAGAATGCTCAGAATGTGTTCGATGATATGTCCAAGTGGAACTCATGTTGCATTAATATACTGCATACACGCAGCGTCAACTCAGTGACTGGGTACAGAGAAGATAGATTGAACATCCAAAATGGTTCAAGTTCAAGCTGCACAAAAATGGGAGAGGGAACGGGCACTTAGAAGAGTTTTAGGCTCTGTTTGGTAGAGTTTTGGAATTCTAGTTTCACTCATTGGTTTGAGTGTGGTGCTTGGTGAGAGCTTTCAAAAATTGATTCTACACCCATGGTTGAAAACATGTGTACTCGGTCATCCTCCCGAATGTTAGGCTGGTTGATCGGACTAATTTTTTTTTTTTTTTTGGCACTTGTTACTTTTATATTTTAAATAAAAAATATTTTTGGATTTTTTTAAAAATTGTTTATGAACTTTGAATAAAATTTTAAGTTGTGTGTTTACTTATGAGTTGTAAGTTTTTGAATTAAATATTATATATCACATCAAAATTTTCAAAGTTAATTCAAAATTCATAATTAAACAAAATTTTCACACTCAAATCATAATTCCACAACTCACAAACTCAAAATACCACTCTATTATCAAATTATAATTTTAAAACTTTACCAAACGCTACCTTAATTTTTTTTTATTTTTATATAATATTTAATTAATGAAATACAACATAAAAAATGTTTTTTAAAAATGAATAGCAAATAAACATTTATTTTAAACATAAATAAACACTCTTTTTTGAGCTGATCAACACAAGATAATAAATTAGCCAGGTAAAATTTATATATATTTGTACGATGCACAACTAGCAAGGCAGATTTCATTAATTGTAAAAAGAGAAGGGTTAAATCAAAAGTCATTCTCTATAAATATGGTATTAAGGCACAACCATAATTAAATGAAAAGATATTAATTTATAATATATAAGCACATATTATATGAAAGAAATATAAGAAATTTAAAGTTTATAGATTTTTTAGTGTCTTACTACGAAGAGAGAGAGAGAGAGAGAGAGAGAGAGAGAGAGAGGGGCAATGATGGATATAAGGGGGTGCGGATGAGAGCAGCCGCACTCCAATTTTTTTTTAAAGTATCATATATTATATTAGAAAATTTAAAATTATAAAAATTTGCACTCCCAAACATACTTTTGCACCCCCATAGTGATAATTCAGGATCCGTCTCTCTCTCTCGCTCGCTCGAGAGAGAGAGAGAGAGAGTTTGGCAACTCATGCGAAGAAGAAGATAACGACGCCTGAGAAGCATAACACTTGAGAGACGAAGACGAAGATAGAGATCAAAGACCGAGAAGCAAATACAAAGAAGAAGACGACAGCGGGAGATTTGATCTCCACTTTCGTAGCCCAAATCACATGTCCAAATCAAGTTTTTCTTTTTCTCGCGATTCTCTCTTAATAGAAATGTGATTCTTACACATTTGTTTCTAAGATGCGCAAGATCGTGTTTTTTAGAAAGAAACGCTACTTGTTTGTGTGATTCCTGTTACTAAGAGTCCAAGTTAGTAACCAAGCAAGGAGATTAGTCAAGCACAAGGACAAGATGACTAGTAGCTATGAACGCTTTATGGCGAAGAAGTCAATGTCAAGCGTTCAATAGTTTGTGAAGAGGTCGACTAGGCAACAAGTCGGTTTCAAGGATGTGTAGCAAAACAACTCAACTCTCAAGATTGGCGACAAGAGTGGCTATATTGAGTACTACACCGAGCAAAAAGTTCAAAGGGTGAGCTACGATTAAATTTTTTGCTTTTATATAATATTTAATTAATGAAATACAACATAATTTTTTTTAAAAAAAAATTGAATGGCAAATAAACATTCATTTTAAAGATAAATAAACATTCTTTTTTGAGCTGGTCAACACAAGATAATAAATTAGCTAGGTGAAATTTATATGTATTTGTACAATGCACAACCAACAAGGCAGATTTCATTAATTGTAAAAAGAGAAGGGTTAAATCAAAAGTCATTTCTATAAATATGGTATTAAGGCACAACCAAAATTAAATGAAAAGATATTAATTTATAATATATAAGCACATATTATATGAAAGAAATATAAGAAATTTAAAGTTTATAGATTTTTTAGTGTCTTACTACGAAGAGAGAGAGAGAGAGAGAGAGAGAGAGAGAGAGAGAGGGGCAATGATGGTCGAGACAAAGAGAGGCAATGATGGATCTAAGGGGGTGATTTTATTTTCAAACTTTCTCCATTTGTACCCTCTCCACCAATCCAATACACTTTTTCAGCTTTTCTGGGGTCACCTAATGCAACCCCCACCAATTCAACATATGTGTCCAGATCTTCCAAATAGAAGGGCACTGCAAAAGAACATGACACCCTATTTCTAACTCACAGCTGCAAAGAAAACACAATTTGTCCTAGCCTCATGATTGAGACACTCCACTCTTTGGAGGAAAGCTCTTGATTTGATTCTACCCTTCCAAGCAAGCTATCCAAAAAACTGAGCTTTTGGTGGAGAAATGTTGTTCCAAATCAATCTTGATGTCCCCAAACCCTGCTCCACACTACTTCTATTATAAATTGAATTAACTATGAACATACCTGAAGACAATGCCTTCCAAGCCAATGAATCAGTTTTTTTTTTTTGGATAAAAATGACTCATGTGAAATCATAAAGGACTGTAGTTTTTCCACATCATCTTCCTCCCAAGCTCCCAGTCTTCTTCTGAAAATCAGGTTCCATTTAATTAAGCTACTTTTTCTTTCCATCATCTGTTGAAGAGTGACCTCTTTTTCTATTGATAGATCATATAATCTAGGAAATTCCTTATTCAGGCATCTGTTGGTAGCCCAAATATCCTCCCAAAATATGGCTTGCTTTCCATTCCCTACTTCAATGACAAAATTCTCCATAAAGAAGCAAAAAAGATTAGGATTGCTATGTTCTAACCTGAGAATATCATCCCAGACTTTTGAGCACTGGGCACTACTAACAGAGAATGGTCTCTACCTCCCACCAAAGCTATCATATTTACTAACTAAAATATCTTTCCACAACACATGGTCCTCACCACCATATCTCTACCACCATTTAGCTAGCAAGCATTCATTGACTTCCTTCAATCTCTTAATCCTCAAACCTCAAAAGTTCTTTTTTTCAGTAGCATCCTCCCATTTTACCAGATGAAGCTTCTTTTAATTTTTGAACCTCCCCACAAAAACCTGGCCTAAATTTTGTCCAATAACTTTGCTACACTCATAGGCAATTTAAACATAGAAAGGTAGTACACTGGTAAAGAAGAAAGCATTGCTTTGGTCAGTGTTAATCTACTTTCAAATAAGAGCAATTTCCTTTTCCAACAAGCCAGCTTAGACTTGAACTTATTGATCACTGGCATCCATGTACTTCTCTTCTTTGGGCTGGTATCCAATGGTAAACCAAGATACATGAATGGTAACTTTTGGCTCACACAATTCAATTTTCTTGCTAAATCATTTATATCATCCTCCTGTACACCTACTCCACAAACTTTACTTTTATGAAAATTAATCCTCATCTTAAAAATCACTTCAAAACACCTTAAAATTCATTTAGCATTCAAAATGTCATTCTCTTCAGCCTTACATAACACCATTGTATCATCTGCAAATTGCAAATGAGTGACATTAACCTCTCTCAGGCCGATCACAACACCTTTGATTAACCCCACTACTTTAGCTCTTTGAAGTAACATATTCAAACCCTTAGCCACTATATTAAAAAGAAAGGGAGACAATGGGTCCCCTTGCCTAAGTCCTTTTTCTAGAAAAAATTTAGTAGTCGGAGAGCCATTAACAATAACTGAAACTCTAACTAATTGTAAACATTCCTTCATCCACCTGATCCATTTGTCCTGAAAGCCAAAGCTTGACATCATAGAAATTAGATACTCCCAATTTATGGTATCATATGCTTTTTTAAAGTCCAGTTTCAAGATTACCCTCTTCTTCTTTTTCTTCGTCCACCAATCCACCACTTTATTGGATACTAAAACCCCATCTAAAATGTTCCTTCCACCAATGAAAGCTGACTGAGACTCTCCAATTATTTTAGGCAATACCTTCTTAAGTCTAAAGGCTAGAACCTTAGACAAAATTTTGTAAAGCAATCCAATAAGGCTAATTGGTCTGTAATCTGAAACACCACATGGGCTATCATTCTTAGGTATCGGTGTTATGAAAGAACAGTTAATACCTTTAGCTAAACACCCATTATCATAGAACTCCTTGAAGAATTGCAAAATATCCTTTTTAAACACTCTTCAACACTTTTGAAAGCAAGACATGTTGAAGTCGTTAGGCCCTGGTGCCTTATTTCAATCACTCTCTCTAACAACTGTCCAAATTTCCTTTTCTAAAAATGGTGCAACTAACCCATTAGAATCATTATCTTGACCAATGGACTTGAAGAAACCTTGGAGCTTGGGTCTAGATTTCCATTCTTCAAAGAACCTTCTTCTAAAATGGTTAACTGCCTCCTTCTTGGCCTTTTGTGGATCCTCATGAAGCTCCCCATCCACTTCAATTGAATTCAACAGATTTTTGTTTTGTTTTCTTGTAGCTATGACATGAAAGAATCTTGTGTTTTTGTCCCATTTTAAACTCTGATTCACTCTGGACTTTTGCCTCCATAACAATTCATCTCTCATACTTAATGACCATACTTCTTTTCTAACTTCTCTTCTTCTTTTAGCCTCATTCTCCTCAAGACTTCTAGATTCAGCCACTAGATTAATTGCATGGAGCTCCTCCTCTGACACTCTCAATGAATGAGTAACATTTCCAAAAACCTCCAAATTTAATTTTTTCGGTACTGAATGTAAAGTCTTCAGTTTGTTCATTATAACAAAACCTACTTAACCAGTAATTGTAGAATCTTTCCAGGATTTCTTCACAGCTTCTCCAAATTTCGAATGTAAAGTCCAAGAATTTATGAAACAAAATGGTCTTGGACCCTAATCCCTGCCATCCTCTACTAGAAACAGGGGGCAATGATCAGATACACTTCTTTCCAAACCCCATAACCTCAAGTTCAACCTTCATATCCACTCTATTGACATGAGTACTCTATCAATTTTACTCCATCTTTCTTTTTCACTAGAATTACACCATGTAAACTGTCTTCCCATAATGGGTAAATCAATGAGCTCCATATTTTCTATGAATAAATTAAAACCTTTCATCCATCTGTCTCTTCTAAAACACTCTCTTCTTTCACTAAGATTTTTGATTTCATTAAAATCACCAGCTAGACACTAGGGATTACAAAACCTAGATTTCAATCAATACAACACATTCCAGAATCTACTTCTCTCATTAACTTCATTTGGAGCACGAACATTGATAAGGACACAGTTAAAACATGGAAGAGGAGTCCCTAAGAGTACAATGTAGTGCCTTGTGCTATAGCATTGGGATAACCTAAACACAATTGGTTTCCAAATGCATAGAAGCCCACTTGCCTTACCTTTAGGGTCAACTACCATGAATTCCATTTCATCTTTAGGCCATAATGATTTAACAAAGTCTAGTGTAACATCAACTTTCTTTGTCTCTTGGAAAAAACAAAGTCAATTTTCCTATCTTTAAGCAGTAATTTTGCTCTCCTCCTCTTTTCAGCTATACCCAAACCCTTTACATTCCATGATAAAAACTTCAATGAGATACAATACATAGCACCTGCATCCACCTGATACAATCGATCAACTTTGCACTGTAGCTCCCATCTGTGTATTTACAACCCTTGATACTACATTATTTTTATCCTTGATCTCCATAGCTTTCAATTTTTCTTTCACCTCTCCTTCCTTCCCACCAAAGCATATGCCTAGAGCTTTGCCCATACAAATTATTGCTTCTGCCTTCTCCTGAGGTGCCTTATCCCTACTTAAACTTCTCCCAATCGACTCCAATCTTGATCTTGACCCAGAATTTTCTTTGCTTGTTCCTTTCTTGTATGCATCCGTCCTTGCTTTCAACCCAGCTTTTGCTCTAAGGATAGAACCTTTGCTCCAGCTTCCTATACCCGCTGCACCTCATTTCCTTTCCTTTCTCCCTTCATTTGTTGTCCTATGTTTGTCCACTGAGTTACTACTGTCATTCCTCATTAGCTTTTTTCTCTGTTTTATCTCCCCATTTTTCCTAGCTATGTTGCCTATAGCATATGTAGACTCAACAGATGGTGATGATGACCCAATATCCTGTGCCTGTGACACCTCATTAGCTGAGTTACTTTTGCTATCCATGGGCCCAATTATTGGCACATCATACTGGATGTTAACTAATTCCACTTCCAATGCTATCCCTGGCTTCTGAAGCCCATTTCCACTACCACTCACATGTCCAAATCAAGTTTTTCTTTTTCTCGTGATTCTCTCTCAATAGGAATGCAATTCTTGCACATTTCTTTCTAAAAAATGCGATGCAAAATCGCGTTTTTTAGAAAGACACGCCACTTGTTTGTGTGATTCTTGCTATAAGAGTTCAAGTTAGTAACGAAGCAAGGAGATTAGTCAAATGCAAGGACAAGATGACTAGTAGCTATACCGTTTTATGACAAAGGAGTCAATGTCAAGTGTAACAACCCAAAAATTTAAGTTGTCCCTTAAATTTCATATTCATATTATTTAATTATAAATAAGAAAAATCTTAAATATTTTGTAAGAGTAAAATAAAATAAAATATTTGATTTTATAATTATATATGCTAAGATATAATTTAATTTGGCATTAATTTATCAAAAGTTTGATTAATATATTTTTTGGGGCTAAATCAAAACAACTATGGTTAAATGAGGCCAAGAAGGAATATAAGGAGATGTATGCATGTTGGCTGGAAGCTTGCGGAATGGGCACCTGGGAAGGCTAATCTATAGGAGAGATGAATGATCCATTGGGTGTAATTAGTAAGGGGGTGACTCATCACCTTTAGCTCAGGTATAAAAATAGGGTGCCTGAGAAGCCAAAGAACCAAAAAGAAAAAGAAAAGAAAAGAAAAAAAAAAGAGAAGAGGAAAATTAGTAAAAGAGTAAGTAAAGAAAGGAGCCTCGGAAAGCCAGAGAAAATAGAAAAGGAATAGTAGGAATTAATATTAAGATGAGTTATATTATACCTTGAGTCACCATCATATATTTTACGTATTGAGAGGGAGATTCATAATCTGGCTTTGGGCTGTGGTGGAGGCCGGGCAGAAAAGAGGTCCGAGCGTGTTTGGGTTGAACTAACGTTGGCTGATCCAGAGTGGTTTGCTAGGTTGAGATCCAGGGCCCATTCGCGCATGTAGCTTGGCGGAAAGGTCTCCCTCGGACCTGCCTAACCTGTCTGGAGCTCGGCCGTACTGGAATGCTACTGAGCTCGCTTGTGATGGAGCTCGGCGAGTGGTACTGTTGGCCTCGTTAAGTAGCTCGGTCGAAAGAGGCCGGGATAATTCTGTCGGGCTGCCCACTCCCGCCAATACCGAGTGGCGGTTTGATTAGGTAGTGTTTAGATGAATTTGCACTGACAGATAGGAGAGCAGCTCTACGTATTAATAAGCGAATGGATGCAGAGGTGAGCGCAGTAAGTATATAAGCGTGATTACGCCCCCCATGCTAGAGATGGAACATCAATTGGTGAGAAAAACTTAACATTCATAGAGCTCTCTCCCTCCCTCTCTCTCTCTCTCTCTCTCTTGGAGTGTGCTAACTGGACTGTCAGAGGGGTTTTCCAGCAACACACCGCCGGGTAGCTCACCGCCGTTGTGTTTGCAGATCAGTCGAATAGAAACAGAGCTTGGACGCAACGAGTACGGAGAGCGATAGATATTTCCTCCCCGTACAATTGGCGCCGTCTGTGGGAACCTTACAGATAAAACCTTGTCCTCCAAGTTCATCGGATCACCTTCTATGGCAAACAACGACGAAATACCGTTGTCTACCATTGACGGTGTTACCCCAGAGTGAGCCAGACGGAGAGACGGACTCCCCGCCGTTCCGAACATGGCGGACTTCGACACTTCCCCAGGAGGACTTCCAAGAGATGCACGAGATAAGCGCGCCAGAAGCTTTGGTCACTCACGGAGCCTAGACGGACACCGGCGGTGGAGGGAGTCGCATGCTCGTAGCCTGGAGCACAAGTTGAGGGACCAGGACGCCGTCATACAGAGAATGGCGACAGAGATGGAAGCTCTCAAATAGCAAGTCAAAGGGAAGGGTGTTGCTGGAGTGGGAGACCACAGTGAGCGCACCCAGCCCCGCCGCTCAAGCAGCCAGAGCCAGCGTCACACGCCTTCCCTTTCCATCACCAGAAGCTATGGGGCTATGGGGTTAGAAACTCAGACCCTCCTGTAGAAAAGTCTAGTGCGCAAGATAGTACATACCATCCCTCACGTTCGTCGACTACATCTGAATATTTGTTTTCCGTTCGTTCAGAGGACTTAAGGGACGTCCTAAAGGAGCGAGCTCGCCGATGGGAGGTTCAAAGGGTGTCGGCACTCCAGTGGTTATCTTACGGAGGTCATGACAGTGAGGAAGTCATGATGCCATTGCCACGTTCAGCCGTGCCAGTCCCTTTGGACAAGGATTTGGCAAAGCTGAATGACACCCCATTCTCCCTTGAGACAGAGACTACATTGCTCCCAGTGGGCTTTCACCTGCCCAAGTTTACGCTTTATGATGGGAAAAGCGATCCTTTTATGTATGTAAGCCACTTTCGGCAGGTCATGGCTGGACACAGGCATAACGATGCTCTCATGTGCCTCATTTTTCCATCGAGTTTGGGTGAGTTGGGCTTGAAATGGTTTGAGAGGCTCTCGGAGGACAGCATCGACCGGTGGCAACAGTTGGCGGAGGCATTCGTGACTCGTTTCAAAACCAACACCAAAACGCCAAAGGAAGTGGACCACCTTCTGAGCGTCAAGATGGAGTCGAGTGACACCCTTAAGGCATTCAACTCCAGGTACTAGGAAACCTTCAACGAGATCCTAGATTGCCCGACCAACCTGGCAATCACCCAATATAAGCGCGGTTTCTCGGTCGGACATAGGCTGAGGGACTTGCTTATAATGAACCAGCCGATTTCCATGGGGCAACTAATGCAATGTATCAATGAGCACATTCGTGTAGAGGATGATGCGGCGGCGTCCACCGCGAAGACAAATCTGGTGGCAACGGACAAAAGGGTGGCTGACAAGGTACACGCGGTCAGACAGGAGACAAACCGTTCAAATGATCGCGCGGGAGAATCTGACTGTGGTCTAAATCGTAGAAACCGGGGTAAAGGTCGCCGCAGTGACCAAACGGAATACCCCCACGATGACGTAGCGGATGCCAACAGAAAGTTGAATGCTCGAACGGGCATCACCACGGTATTGAAGATACCGATTTATGGCATACTTAGTGAAATCCGCGACGAGGATTACGTCCGGTTTCCCACCAAGGTAGGCGATGCGCAAAAGGGTTTCAATCCGCGGTACCGCTGTACATTCCATAGAGAGCGAGGACACCGGACGGAGGACTGTTTTCCCCTAAAGCAACACTTGGAGGAGCTGGTTGCAGCCGGTCACTTAAACCTTTTCATCGATGGGGGCATTAGAGCCGCGCACCATGCCTCGGCTGATCCGAGTGGTTCGGATGACCTAGAGGCGCCCCCTCAAGGAGTGGTCAATGTGATCCATGGCATAGTGGAGCTAGCGTGGGTATGGGAGCTCCGAGGGATGATAAAAAAGGCAGAGTATATGAGGAAAGTTTTGCCAGTCCAGTCCGCGATCAAAAGGGGCAAGATCGAGGAGAAATATGTGATTAGTTTTTCAACTAGGGACCTTGAGAGCATTCAAACGCCGCACAACGACGCCCTAGTACTCACCCTCCGCGTCAGAGACTTCGATGTCAAGCGCATCTTCATTGACCAGGGAAGCAACTCAAACTCCGGGATACAGACTTGGCTCCGGCAACTTCGCCACTAGTTGGTTTCAACTCACAACCGGAGTGGCCTATGGAAAAGATAATCTTACCAGTCAAAGCCAGATCCGTGGTCAAGCAGGTGGAGTTCTGGGTATTGAAGGTGCCGTCTACATACAACCTGATCTTAGGTAGGGGATGGCTTCAAGCTATGCAGGCGGTAGCGTCAACCTACCACCAGGTTATGAGGTTCCCCTCGGCTATGGGGGAAGTTGAGGAAATTTGGGGCGATCAAGTCATGTCGAAGCAATGTTTCGTGGTAGTAAATGAGAGCCGAGCTGCCAAAGGCTTCGTGCAAATGATTGCAGTTCCGGAAGACCAAAGTGTCCTTGATGACGTGGGCACCAGGGCCGAGGAAAAGGCTGTTGAAGAATTGGTGGAAGTGTGGATCGACACCGAAAGTCCAAACAAGTTCTTTTTGCTAGGGTCAAGCCTGACCGCCCAAGTGTAGACACCCCATTTTTGACCATCCTCAAGACTTGGTTGTGCTTGCAGGTACATCCAGCCACAAGTTCGATTACTCGTCGGGTACTCAACTTTCGCGGCGGAACGTCACAGGTTTGAGTTTTTCAAACCCTGTATCCTTTCTGCCCCATTTTTGGACCATATGTTGGTCCTTTCATCATGCTCCTCTTAGTGAACTGCCGGCCATGCTTTGGCACTGCCGGCCATGGATTCTTCCCTGTCTGCTACTGATGATTCCTACTGGCCATTAGTGAGGCACTGCTGGCCACAGCTGATGGCCGGCAGAACCCTTTGTCTCAGTAGATTTCACGCCAGATCTTTTGAGCCAGTTGGTTTCCACTCATCTCTCCTCCATATGGAGGGATGAGCCTCTTTTCAAGCTTGTTTAACAAGCTTTGCTTTGCCTCTCTTCTATATAAGGAGAGGCACCTCCTCTATTTGAGAGGTTCAGAAAATGGAGGTTTGAGTTATATATATAGTTTTGTATCTATACCTCTCTTTTGTTCTTGTTTTGTGCCTTCAAAGTGTAGTCTTGTCTTAGTTTAACACACAAACACACACTCAAACACCTTGCTTGTGTTGCTGAGGCTTCTTGAGGTTGTTTTTGGTGTTCTTGGGCTGATTTGAGCTTGAAAAGCTTGCTGGAGTTGCAGTTGTGAAGGTGGTTTTCAAGGGTGAGTTTCTAATCCTTAAATCCCCCATTTTTGCTTAAGCTTTTAGCCCTTCTTGCATGTTGTTTTAAGCTTAGCTTTCTACTGGAAAAAGTTCTATTTTTGTATGCTTAAAAGGTTTGTTTAAGGATTTTTTTTTTTGTTTAGGGTTGTTTACCCCCTCTTAGGCCTTGTTTGGCCTTGCTTTTGTGCCTTCTTTGTGACCCTTTTGGGACCACCTTGTTTTGGTCTTCTCACCACTGAAACTCAGAGGAATTTCAGTAGTGGGAAGGGTGTTTTGAGGTCCCAAAAAGGAGAGGGTCATCTTCTCTCCTTGTGTTGTGTTTACTTGCTTTGAATGCCTCATGTGTGAGCATGTTTGTTAAGCTTATGTTGGCCACATCTTAGCTTGTATTTGTGGTTATTTTGCTGTGGCATGCCACTGTTTTTGCTTGGTTTTGTCACTCCATGCATGCATAATACACTTGTGGTGTAAATCACACAAACTAGTCTTGTATGCTTCACAAAGTAACCTGTCATTCTAGCTTGTTCTGTCTCCATTTCAGTAGGTTTTTGGTGTCGTTTTAGCATGCCACGACTCTGTTTTGGGTGGGTTTGATGGCCCCTTGCATGCTCCATACACTTGTAGTGTAATTCCATGAATTAGCCTAGTGTGTCTCATGCTTTAACATGTCATTCTAGCATGCTTTTGGCTTAGCTTTGAGAGGACTTTGTTCATGTTTTAGCATGTTTAAGGTTTGATTTATGTTGTCTTGGTCATGCATTACTTGCTTTGTATAGCCTTGGTTCAATCTAGCTTGTAGGCTTTGTGCATTGAGTCCATTAGCATGCATTACTTGAAGTATTTTCATGATTTGGCATCATGTGAAATGTGATTTCAGTCCATGTTTCATGGTCACACACTTGCATTTATCACCTATTCCATGCTTTGGATAGTTTGTGTTTTTATGCCTTAACATGGATCATTGCGTATGCCTTCATGCCTAAGCTTGCGAGCTACCATTTCAATGTGTTTTTGGGGTTATTATGCCATGATATAACTCTGATTTTCGTTAGTTAAGTCACCCCATGCTTGGTCTTAGTAGGTGTAGTGTAATCCACCTTATTTGCCTTGTATGCATCATGTCTTATGCCTTTCATGTTAGCATGTTTTGGCTTACTTCCATGCATGTTTTGGACTCATTTTGACATATTCTAGGATTGTTTTGGGTCGCCTTTGCCATATGCTTCATGCTTTGTATAGCTGTAGTGCAGTTGGCCTTGCTAGCTTTGTGTTTTGATGACTCATGCATGCTATCTTTGAGCTATTTAGATGATTTTGCATCATTTAATACTTCGTTTAAGAGCTTATAGCAATGCCATATTCCCACTTCATTCATGCTTTAAGTGCCTCTGAGTTTTGTACATTGTTGCCTAGTTTGTGGCCTAGCATGTATGCTATCTTGCCTAGGTATTTGAGCCTCCATCTTAGCATGTTTTGGTCTTTGTTTTGACCTACGTAAGCTCTGTTTATGGTTGGTTCATGCATATTTGCCATGTATTGCATGCCTCTTATGTGTTGCTCTTTGCTAGCCTTATGCTTTAAGGACTCTTGCATGCCTTACTTGCCTTGTTTGAATGATTTGGCATCATTTCTTACTTAATTTCAGTGCACTTAGTGTTGCTATACTTGCACATTTGTCACTCTTTGAGCCTTCTTGAGGGTTGTGCTCTTGGTCCTAGTTGGAGGGCCAATGCATTGTGCATGCATACCTTGCCTTTTGTGCCTTGGTTTCATCACCGTGGCCTCTATTTTGGGCATGACCGAGGTCTGTTCATTTTGGTTTAAGTCCATTGTGCATTGTGCATGCCATGTTCACCGCATTGCGTATGCCTTATACTTTACATTGTGTATGCTTATATTACATCGCATTGTGCATGCCATGAAGTTCATAGCATTGAGTATGCCATGTTGTTTGCATGCTTAAGTTGTATCGCATGTTTGCATGTTTAAGTCGCATTGTGTATGCCATACTTGTGTTGCATTGTCGTTTGGATTAAGTGTTAATCCGAACACGAGAAACGAGGGACGTTTCATACTTTAAGTGATGAAACGTGCTTCAATTCTCGGTCGCCGATGCTCTTGATGATGCATGATAGAGTTCTAGGCATTTACGTATTTTTGTGCATTCATTTCATATTGAATTGCACATGTTGGATCTTTGGCCATCATGCATCGAGATGCGTGATTGATGGTCTTGGATCCGATTATGCCTCTCCCTTGATGTTTTGAGGTGATATGGGGTGGCATAGTGCGTACAAACCCTTGGGAGACCCTTCATTTTCTCTATTTTGTGCTTTGTTGCAGCTTGGTGTCACAACACACCAATGGCCAACACCCTCTTGTTGTTGGCCGGCAGTCCTTCATTCTTGGCCGGCAGTACCTGTTATTGGCCGGCAGTGGGGTCGGCAGAGGCTCCTTATGGCCGGCAGGCCACTGGTGTACTCCCCAGCAGTGTTTTGGTAAGTTTCAGCAGCAAGCACTGGAAGACACCCTACAAAAAAAGCCTCAAGAGAGCAACCAGAGAGCTTTTTCGGGGTGGCAACTGAGCATGCATACTCTTCTCCTTCAACCGAAGCTGGAGCAACTTAGTTTAGTGCTTTATTTGTTAAATAGCATTTGGTGTTGTAACTTAATTAATTCATTTGATTAGTTAAAGTTTTGTAATAATTAATTGGCTTAGTATAGTTAATTAGGTGGTTTGTAATAATTAGTCTAATTAGCGTAGCATAGCTTAGCTATCATTCATTCGGACCCTCCATCGAGAGGGCATATGTTGTAATAAGGGTGCGTGTGTGTGTGCATGTCTTCCAACCCCCATTTCTTTTACTTAACCGCTTTCGATGGTTAGTTTTAGGGCATTTTCAATTAGCATATCTTATCCTTTGTATGCATGCATCCATTCATCTGTATTGCATACACCGGGCTCGGCACATCATACTAACTGCATTGTATTTCAATACCGATTTGAATGCATGATTATCAAGTGTTGCATCTCATATGCCATCTTAGAATAGTCGAGCCTATTTCTAGTTGCATTTTGCATGCGTTGCATTAGCCATCTTAACATAAACTAGGATCATGCATTGATTACTAACTAGTTGTTGTTTTGGCTCGGAGTACACTGTAAGTGTTTAGGCTTTAGCATCTTGCATGAGTTTGAGTGCTGCCATGATAGCATGCTTGCCATGAGGCTAATTGCTTATTTGCTATAACTGCCTGAATGTCTGTGGGTGAAGGTTGGATTGCTTGAATTGAAACAATTCATTGAAATCCCTGATTTAGCCTACTCGCAAGTAGCAAACTTCAAACCATTTTCAAACAAACAGATATGCTTTGTTCCAAATTAGGCGGTCTAGTCTATACTTGTATGCTGTGCGCATCACGTAGTAAGATTAGCTAATTAATCAGAATAAGAGCACATGTGTTTTCAAAAATAAGATGTCATGCTTAGTACAGGCCGATCTTTGATCGGGCGAGCGGGGGTGCTCATTGCATGACCTTCCCCTCTCGTACCTAAATTCCTGAGCCGAAGCAACTTCGGTGATGACGGACACGTGGCCTTAGGCACGAGTCAGCGTTTCCTAAATTCCTCCAAAACAAAATATTTAGGTGGTGACTCTGTATCTAGCAAAGCAGTCTATGTTTGGCACTTCTTTATAAAAGTCAGTTTTCCAAAACGATTTGCCGGATTTGGACTCTTTGGTGATTTATCGGTCTTGCATTACACTTTGCGAGATTAGATTCAGAACCGTGACATTGAGTCCGAACTGTAGTAGTCCAATAAACAAAATGGATTTTCGCACCATTCGCGTGCGGGGCCCGGGACGTTCGGACGCGTCTATACCAAGAAAGGACCGAGATGGTAGAGTTCTTCATGGTGAGTATCGAAGTCTTTGCATGGACGCCGTACGACATGCCTGGCATTGATCCAAGCTTTATTTGCCACCAACTCAATGTTTTCTTGGATGCACGTCTGGTCATTCGAAGGACGAGGAGATCGGCTCTTCATCACACCGATATAGTCACGGAGGAAATGAGGAACCTGTTAGAAGCAAGGGCTATCCAGGAAGTGCACTACCCTCGGTGGGTTTCAAACATGGTCGTAGTGCCCAAGAAGAATGTGAAGTGGCGAGTTTGCGTTGATTACAAGACTGTCAACCGAGCTTGCCCTAAAGACAGCTTTCCTCTGCCTAGACTAGACAAGCTAGTGGATCTCACGGCCGGGCATAACAGGCTCAGTTTCGTGGATGCCTATCGCGGTTATCACCAGATCACCATGCATGCTCACGACTGCGAGATAACCTCTTTCACTACCCCAAAGGGACTATTCTGCTATCGAGCCATGCCTTTTGGTTTGAAGAACGTTAGGGCGACTTTCCAAAGGATGGTGACTAAAATGTTCATTTCTCTGCTGGGCCGGACAATTGAGGCTTACATCGACGACATGGTGGTCAAAAGTAGGCAGCAAGCTGACCACTTATCTGACCTAGCTGAGATGTTCGCTATTCTTAAACAACACAGGCTTCGCTTGAATGTGTCAAAGTGTGCCTTCGGCGTGGGATCCGGGAAATTCCTAGGCTTCCTAGTCA